TCTAAAGCCGTTCTTTTATAATTTAGGGGGAAAAATACGATAAACATAAACCCAATTATTTAAACTCAATATATTAAGTTTTACTCCTTAGTAAATTGACCTAACCACAGAATCAGAAAAGGGTTCAAAGTACGTCACTAACCATCAAAAACTCACTAATTGGATAGTTGTTTTGATAACCTATGTGGTACCAAAGAGAGACAAAACAAAATTGGCTTTGTCCTTGAAATCTGGCTCGGTGCCTGTGGCTCAAGTGGCTAAGGCGCCAGCCACATACACCTAAGGTGGCGAGTTCGAATCCAGCCCAGGCCTGCCAAACAACAATGACGGCTGCAACCAAAAAAAATGGCCGGGCGTTATGGTGGGCGCCTGTGGTCCCAGCTACTTGGGAGGCAGAGGTAGGAGACTCGCTTGAGCCCAGGAGTTGGAGGTTGCTGTGAGCTGTGATGCCACGGCACTCTACCCAGGGGGACAGCTTGAGGCTCTGTCTCAAAAAAAAGTAAAAAAAAAAAAAGAAAAGAAATCTATGTGACCTTATGCTAATGCTAATTTAGTGGCCCGACAGCATATTGGATGAGTTCCATAGAACATGTTGCTGTGTTCATCTTAAAAATTTCAAAGCATCTTTTCAAAAATGTAATATTAACTGATAGAAATAACTTACAATAAATCCAATGGTGCCTCGGGGGTAAGTGGTTGACCTGACATTAACAGTCACAAGCCTTCATTCCCTTTTCACTAGTCCTAATCAGAGACCACATTTACTGCTAAAGCAACTCGTAGAAGTACATCTCTTTAAGCAAACAGGAAATCAACTGGACAATTTAAACAAATGCTGTTGACCTATCATGAACTCTTGTTGAAAAATAGCCTCTCCTTACAGTGGAATGAGATTCTTCACGTCACAATGGCACTTAGTCAAAATGTCTGAAATAAAGGGAAATATTTAGGTTTATTTTTAAATTCCTCTCTACTTACCATTCTACTTCAAATTGTATCCCCTGCTATCATGAGGATTGAGCAACCTTCACAGAGTTGGCAGAACAAAGCCAGGGAGTTTATCTGGACCATTACTTTCCACTCTGCAGTCCCTGCAGAGAGAATTATGGCAGAGGACACCGGGCAATGACTGGGCGGTTTAGCATTCTACCTGAGGGAAAATTGCCCAGCCCGGCTCTAAAGTGGACCACTGTGGAACGCCGCCTTCTTAGTAAAGCATCACAAGAACCGAGAAGCAAGAATCTAAGCTACTCAATTCTAATATGAAGGCAGTAGATGAGCTAATACAAGGGGTGGGGGGTAGGGGAATGAGGGAGCAGGGAGAGGAAAGGAGGGAGGAGGATATGGGGTCCCCCTGGTGTATGACACACCTCTAGTGGTGGGGGGCACGATTATAAGAGGGACTTTACTTACTTAACATGCAATCGGTGCAACCTAATTCTTTGTACCCTCAGTGAATCCCAAACAATAAATAAATAAATAAAATGGACAATTATCCAATTATTGTTCCTTTATTTCAAATTAATGTGAGGGTACAAACAGTTAGCTTACGATGTTTGCATTTATTAGGTAGAGTCCCTGTTGTAGTTGTGTAGAGATGTACCAGATGCCCTCACACTGTACCCAGTAGGTGGCAGCACACCCAACCCCTCCTTCCCCTTCCCCCCCACCATCTTAAACTGAACTGTTTTTCTCTCCTGTGGGTATTAAATGGTCTGTTGGTTTCATATTAGCATTGAGTACATTGGACACTTAACTTTTCCATTCTTGGGCAGCGTCTGTGGCTCAAAGGAGTAGGGTGCCGGCCCCATATGCCAGAGGTGACAGGTTCAAGCCCAGCCCCGGCCAAAAAAAAAAAAAAAAAATTGCAAAAAACTTTTCCATTCTTGTGATACTTTTCTAAGCAGAATGTGTTTCAACTCCATCCAGGTTAATACAAAAGATGTAAAGTCTCCATCATTTTTATGGCTGAATAGTATTCCATAGTATACATATGCCACAGTTTATTAACCCATTCCTGGGGTGATGGGCATGGAGGCTGTTTCTACATCTTGGCTCTGGTAAATTGAGCTGCGATAACAATCAAATGCAAATAGCCTTAGGATAAAATGATTTTTTTTCTTCTGGGTAGATGCCTAGTAATGGGATTGCAGGAATATCCAATTATTTTTCAACCATCTTACGACTTCACTGATGTAACAGGCCTTACAGCCAATTGTACATAAAGTTTTTATTCTATGGCAGATAAAATATATCTTTGATGCATAAAAAGAAAGCATTAGGCTTACTCTGGTTAAAAGGTTCTTGCTTTTTATTCACTCTTTCATTCATTCAAACCTATACTTAGTGAATGCTGACTAAGTGCCAGAGGTTTTTTAGTAGACTTTAAGTAAGATGGTCAGGAGGCTGAGGCAGGAGGATTGCTTGGACCCAGCAGTTCAAGATTGGCTTGGGAAACATAGCGAGACCCTTGTCTCAAAAAAAAGGGAAAAAAAGGAAAAGAAAAACTAGCAACTAGCTGGGTACCGTGGTGCACACATGTACCTCCAGTTATTCAGGAGGCTAAGGAAAGAGGTTCTCTTGAACCCTGGAGTTTGAGGCTACAGTGAGCTAAGATGATAATAGCACTGCACTCTAGCCCAGGGTGATAAAGCAAGATCTCATCTCTAAAAAAAATAAATAAATAAGATCGTATTTTTCACTGTCATAGGTTACAGCCTAAGCATAAATTAGGGGAAGACAATCACGTATTCAAACATAATAGAGAATAATGGTTCTTTTTTTCACATGATTGTACTGTGTAAATGACCTGTCTGGGACCACACCTCGGGGGTGGAACATCTGGAAAATGATCGACAGCTGGTATAATTGTCCAGCTGGTCTAATAAGTGGTCTTACTCACATATCATGGAACTATCCTTTCTCATCTTCGTGCTCACACGGCTCTTCACACACACAGTGATCTGCACATGTAACTCCATAAGCATCTACCGAAATGGTTTGAACTGCTGACCTTAGTCAGCCCAGGGTGGCCTTTCTCTTAGGATATTTCAACTATAGTCTGTCTTCTTGCCTTTTTCACATTTTAAAAGACTTTCAAGATAAACCAAGGAAGGATCCTGCTGGATAGGAGACCGGAAAATTTTCAAACTCAACACAATCAACTTCAGGATCATATATGGACTTGGAAGAGTGCCAACAATCACATCATTATTTATAAATCAGACTTTTTTTGAGACAGTGTCTTGCTCCAGTGCGTGGGGTAGTGTGCAGGGGCAGGGTTGTCACAGCTCACAGCAATCTCGCACTCCTGGACTCACGTGATCTTCCTGTCTCAGCCCCCTGAGTAGCTGAGGTTACAGGCACAGTCCATCACAGCTGGCTAATTTTTTTTTTGAGACGGAGTCTCAACCTGTCACCCTCAGTAGTGTGCCATGGGGTCACAGCTCACAGCAACCTCAAATTCTTGGGCTTACGCAATTCTCTTGCCTCAGCCTCCCAAACAGCTGGGACTACAGGCACCTGCCACAACCCCTGGCTATTTTGTTGTTGTTTTGCAATTGTCATTATTATTTTAGCTGTCCTGGGCCGGGCTCGAACCCGCCAGCTCTGGTGAATGTGGCTAGCACCCTACCCACTGAGCTATGGGTGCCGTTCCACACCTGGCTAATTTTTATACTTTTTGTAGAGCGATGAGGTCTTGCTCCTGCTCAAGCTGGTCTTGGACCCCTGGCCTCAAGGGATCCTCCTGCTTCAACCTCCCAAAGTGCTAGGGTTACAAGCATGAGCCACAGTGCCTGGCTTTCCCTGAACAATGGTAGTTCTGCCAGTTTTCTCCAGGGAGTCCAACCTAGCTAGATTTTAATCCCTTTCAATTGTGGCCGCATCAGCTATAAAAGTTGTAGCTGAAGTTTTAATGGCCACACTTAAGGAAATTTAACAGATACACCAGGGAGTGTTCCAATTATATACACCATTAAGGGGTTTTATGTGAGGATTAAAAAAAAATACTATTAAAAAGAAAGCATAGTCCTTGTGCAGTATAATTTACCAGCAGGAAAGATTTCAACATCCTGGAAAAGGTTCATATAAAAAGAAGGCCAGGAAACTGGAAAAGTCACAGTACTCAGCGCGCTTCAAAGGAAGCTTGGGATCCTTTTGCCGCTAAACAGGTAAATTGCTTAGTATTTCTAGTACGACTTTTTCCTTTTTAGATTGCATGCTACGGGGTATCTGCAGGGCACTTTGCACTCCAGGGGCTAAGTCCAGGTGTCCGAAGATGCCTTGACCTGCACTGTCCTCACCACCAGCCACAGAAATCCAGCCTTTGGGGAATCTCACAGATCACAGACCAGTATTGGCGTTGTCTGTAGCCTCTTCTTCAATAAATTAAAATTAATTTGGAGACACATTTCATTAGGTAATTAGACACCCCCCTCAGCAGGGGAGGCATCTGGTCTGTGACTTACTGCTTTGAACAGTGCTGAGTCCTCTCACATTCCCACAGATGGTCCAGCCAGCACTGATGCCAGAGAGACTTAGAGGACAGACAGGAAAATGCCATGAGTACCACAGGGCCGCTATCTAATGTCAAGCAACTTTCTATCCGCTGCAGATTCTTAGCGAGAGCAGATGTCCTGGCTCTCTGTCTCTCCAGATGACAGAAGCGGAGACTAATCCACAGGGCGGGAGATGTTGAGGCTAAAAGGTGAATCTGCTAAGGGGTTTAGAGAAACTCAATAAATCATAAAAATAAACATGCACTACCTTTGTGTTAAAAAGTCCTGACCACGTGAGTTTAAAGGACCCATTTTATCCCCAGGGACCAGGAAACTCAAGGCAAGCAAACAGGTGTCTCTGCGTGAAAGCCCTTAAGACTTCAGCTTCCATCTTCTGAGGCTTAATGAAACAGATGGGAGCCTTTTCCCTAAAGAGGTCTTCATTTTTTTTTTTTTTTGTTTAACCCAGCCTGGGTCTATTCTGATTGTACATTCTTGTTCCCTAGAATGGAGCTAATTCCAAAACTTGTGGCTGGACTTATTCTATTGACCTTCTGCGTGGAGGGCTGCTCCAGCCAACATTGGTCCTACGGACTGCGCCCTGGGGGCAAGAGGAGCCCTGAACATTTGATCGATTCTTTCCAAGAGGTAAGTTTCTCCCAGCTTCAAAATAAGACATAGCTCATTTGATTCAATTTGACTAAATGTTCAATATGAGCCCCAGTGATACGCCCTTGTGCTCGGCCCCAGAGACTCCAGCAAGATCAACACTGAACAAGGGGAAGCCTCGTTCCTGCTTTCAGTTCACACAGGGACTAAGAAAACTAAGATCGGGACAAGTTCCAAGAAATATAGCATCAAATACAAGAGAGCGCTTGATACTCTCAGAGTACAGGGTTGCCAAGGGAATTAGGAAACGATGGGGTGGAGCCCAGGTCTCTTAGGGATTTGCAAAGAAAATCCAACCTAGACCTTCTGCTTATGTTTTTATCTTATTTTATCTTTTAAAAACATCTGTGATAATAAACCCATAGTAACATTTTTATAATTTATAAATAGGTATCCTTACCAAGTAGGCATGCCCTGTAATTCCTGGTCACTGACAAGGGCATGTAAGCGGAGATGTTGGAGTCAGCTAGAATATAGGAGTTAGCAAACTCCGCACGACACAACAGCAGAGTGGAAAATGTGGTGGGTTTAATTTCCTAGAGATGAGGTTACAGTGCTGGCACCAGCACGAACCGGAATTACTTGTTTTTTTCAATCAATAAAATGTGATCTCCCAGGATCATGTAAGGATTTCACAGGAGGGGCCGTCTACGTGAGCCCATTAATCCAGAAAGTAACACAGGGCTGAGAATGGGGGGCCCAGCTAGAGAAACTCAAACCCATTCCTGTTTCATTGTAAGGAAACCTCTCTTCTGGGAGAAATCCCGAAGATAATTTAGTATTAAATGAGGGAGCCGGAGAATCTTTAGTGTCCTCTCCACAGATTCTTTGTGAAGCAAATCTCGTTTCCTACGGCATTTAGTAAAATACAGAAAACAAACACCAACTCTTTGCACAACTGTAAACTCGTTTTTGTGTCCAGCCCCCCCCTCTGTGAGGCACAAAGGGCTTCACACACACACCCTCTGAGGAGAGAACTATCTCCTCTTTCTGTCTGCGCTACCTCTAGAACCCCAGCTGTTCTATAGAAATGGCTGATGGTCCTTACAGACCCCCCTTTTAATCTTAATCCAGCCCCCATTAAGTCTCATCATAGGGTGACCAGACGTCCCGCTTCTTAACAATTTGTCCTGCGTCCCACGGCGTTTTAAAAAAGTCCCGATTTTTGGAAAGAATGCACCAACGGGAAGGAGAACAGGAAGGGAATATACGGTTTTCGGCTGCCATGTGGCTATTTCGCCAGAATATGAGTTTTATATTATTTTTGTTAATTTTATAATGTTAAACTGTAATGATAACAAATAATTGTTGAGAAGTGATTATCGAGAAGTGCTTATCAAAGTTTGCATTGTTGTTAGACCCTGCCCTGCCCCGTCCCCGCCCTCACCCCCAGCCATATTGCCCTGCTTTACAAATGTTAAAATCTGGTCACCCTATCTCATCACCTCCCTGCTTTCACTCTCCACAGACATTTGTTGGTGGAAATAAAAAATACCATTTCATTTCTTTTATCTTCATCTCTAAGAATCCCATTCTTTTTCTCCAGACAGCCAATGAGGTTGATCGACTAGCAGAACGTCCACGCTTGGAATGCACCATCCACCAGCCTCGCTCACCACTCCGTGACCTGAGAGGAGCCTTGGTGAGTTAAAGGCCCTTGGGGACCTCTCAGGACCACATCCCTGACCTTCCTGACTGCTGAGATTCCTCCTATGGTGACGCCCTGTCCCTGACACTCCCGTTCCCTGGTTAGACAGCAGTAGGGTGGGAACCTCCACCTTTTTTTTCTTTTCTTCCCCAAAGTTGAATTTAAATCTTTAAATGCCTATAACCTTTATCTGGCTCTAGCCTTTCCAATGCTATATGCAGTTCTACCAATAGATTCAGCAAACCTCCTTGATTGCTGTAGCGCCTGTAGCTCAAGTAGCTAAGGCGCCAGCCACATACACCAGCGCTGATGGGTTTGAATCCAGCCCAGGCCTTACAAACAATGACAACTACAATCAAAAAAATAGCCGGGTGTTGTGGTGGGCACTTGTAGTCCCAGCTACTCGGGAGGCTGAGGCAAGAGAATCACTTAAGCCCAGGAGTTTGAGGTTGCTGTGAGCTATGACGCTAAAGCACTCTACAGAGGGCAGTAGTTGAGGCTCTATCTCAAACAACAGCAACAACAAACTCCTTGATTGCTCTACTCTAGACAAATCCACACTCCTCCACCAGGCTCTGCAGCTGTACTTGCTGTGACATGGTTTTCCAGAACCTTAGACAGTAAAGAAATCCCCCTGCCTTTGGAATTAAAAATTCCAGACCCAGTAGATTCATAATTTAAAGCCACAGCATTGATTTCCAGTGTTCCAACAGGACAACAGTCATATCCAAATTCTCACCAAAAATGTAAATCTACTAATCTAAGTTTTTAATGAAAAGAGTATAAAGAGAATTAAACACAAAAATTGAGACTTAAATTCAATGTTGGTGTTCTCTGAGTTTTGTGGTCTACATATTTGTAGCAGGGAGAAGGAGGTTATCAGTTATGCCCGGGAGCGGGGGACACCTGAATAACTCACGTATGAAGATTAGAGAAAGACACTTCAACTTCCCACAGGACAAAGAGAAAGGGGGCCGACATCTTCATTTCCTTTCTTTTTCTAATCTTGCTTACTACATGATAAAAGTAAGAGAAAACAGTGAAATCTCCCAAATATGACATTATGAAGGAATTAAGGCAAAGGCTGGTTTAACAGCAAACTGGGAATGGTGGTTTGCTCCTGTGATCCCAGCTACTCGGGAAGCTCAGGTGGGAGAATTACTCGAGTCCAAGAATTTGAAACTGGCCTGGTGACAGAGTGACACCCCCATGTCTAAGAAATTTTTTTAATTACCTATAGTCCCAGCTACTTGGGAGGCTGACTTGGGAAGATTACCACTGCACTCCAGCCTGGGTGACAGAGTAAGACCTCCTGTCTCTTAAGAACAATTAGCAAACTGATTGATCAGACCTTATTCCATCTCCTTCCTCATATCCTAATCTTTAACTACTGAAATTTTATGTTTAACAAGCAGGTTAAAAAGATAGGTTAGGTTGGGCAGTGCCTGTGGCTCAAAGGAGTAGGGTGCCAGCCCCATTATGCCGGAGGTGGTGGGTTCAAACCTGGCCCCAGCCAAAAACAGCAAAAAAAAAAAAAAAAAAAAAACTCAGGCTAGACACGGTGGCTCACACCTCTAATTCTAATACTCTGGGAGGCTGAGGTGGGTGGATTGCTTGAGCTCAGGAGTTTAAGACCAGCCTGAGCCAAGAGCAAGACCCCATCTTGACTAAAAATAGAGACTTGTAGTCCCAGCCAATCAGGAGGCTGGGGCAGGAGGATGGCTTGAACCCAAGAGTTTGAGGTTGCTGGGAGCTATGATGACCCGACAGCACCCTACCCAGGGTGACAGAGACTCTGTCTTAAAAAAATAAAATAAATAAACAAATGAGAAGACAATCTGTTTTATCTCCCTAGTACACAAAAACAAATGGACTTTTTCTTCTAGATCATCTTTTAGAAATTAAAATGTCAAAAACGTAATGATATTTAGATACGAAAGCCAACCTTGATATATTTGTTACTCACTTATTTCTCAGGAAAGTCTGATTGAAGAGGAAGCTGGGCAGAAGAAGAGTTAAATCTGCCGGGCCAGAAGGATCGACAGCACTTAAGGATAATTCTGACACTGACAGTCGTGATGCGTTGAATACCTGCAAGTTTTGTGAACTTCAGAAGTTCCGACACCAAATGACTCACATTTCATAATAAAGTGCTGTGTCGTAAATGAAGTGGTACAAATATCGAGTCTCTCTAACTCAGAACTCTGGGGGGAGGGACACTGTGAGCCTACCAAAGGGAGCCTTCCACATGGAGGATCAGGCCGCAGAAAGGAGGGAGAGGGGACAAGGGTCCATTGTTGGCTAAAGGGCTCTGGGCTCTCCAGGGCCCTGTCCTGTACTCATAAACACAGCCACGTACTGCTACAGCCTAAAACAACTGACTCAGCTACCATGTCTATGAGCTGAGGCCAGGGGCCAAGGCTTCTTCCCACTTGGAAAGAAGTCCCCTCCCAAGATTGTTTCCTCTCCCTCTGAAAGTCATGTGGAACTGAGCTTGGGGTAGCAGGGGCCTCCCAGGACTCCCAGGCCAGTGCTCCTGTTTCCATGAGGTCTGTCCAAATGCTGCGTGCTGAGTGTGAGACCAAGGCCCCCAAATAACAGCGTTTACCTGTTTGATCTTCATGGTATTTCGTTTGAGAAATGCAGTGCAGTGCAGAGAGTCCGTTGGAGACAGGATTCTGTAGTTTCTGGGTCAAACAGCGTTGCTTCTGAGCATCCTCCACAAAGACCAGCCTCAGGCTCTGTGCTAGGCATGTGCGTGCATTTTTCACCAACCAGACTGGGACGCAGACATTGTCTTCACTTTAAAATGAAGAATATGGGTTCAGAGAGTTTAACAGGCCCACTCTGTCCCGTCTGGCTCCATGTTCACCGTTCCTGCACTGCACCACAGTGAGCAGTTGACAGAATCACACTTGCAAGCTGGGCTGTTTTGTTAATCAGAGCTGAGTCGAGATACTGGGGCTCACAGGTCAACCTAGCTTTCCTGGTGACCGTTTCTCTGACATCTGAGACACCACGGCATTGAAATTCTCATCTATCTTCTTACCTTCCAAGTAGCTATGAGATCATTTGAAAAACTCAGATTTCAAATAATGTGTTCAATGTCTCAGCAACACATTGACAAGGCAAAGATCTAGGACCTTTTCTTCCTCTTTTAAACCAGACGCGTGAAACTCCCTCCTGCCCCTCCCCTCCACTTCAGAAAAAAGGGAGATCTGTGCTAAGGAGTTTGAACAGAAATACTCCATGGGGACAACAATATCCATTTCTAATATAAATATTTGCTAGTAGGCCAGGCACAGTGGCTCACACCTCCAATCCCAGCACATTGGGAGGCTGAGGCAGGTGGATTGCCTAAGCTCAGGAGTTTGAGACCAGCCCGAGCAAGAGTTAGACCCTGTCTCTAAAAACTAGCCCGGGCATTGTGGTGGGCACCTGTAGTCCCAGCTCCTCAGGAAGCTGAGGCAAGAGGATCACTTGAGCCCTAGAGTTTGAGGTTGCTGTGAGCTATGATATTACAGCACTCTAGGCTACGGCCACGAAGTCTGTGTCTCAAAAAAAAAAAAAAAATTTCCTAGTGCATAATGTTAGACTTCCCAAATACTTCCATTTTGACAATCTCTAAAACTGAATCCAAGAACTTCTTCACTTCTACTTTAACAGAATTAGGCAGTGATGTGATCCCCAACGTCATGGCTTTCTGAAACAAGCAAACCCACATCATTTCATTCCTTAACAAGTGGGGAGGGTGAGAAGCTTCCATTTGCCACTCATCTTTTTTTTTTAAGGAAAATTAACATAATTTACATTTGTTACATAAGTTGACACATTAATCTGTATGTCTTGCTTGAAGCCTCAGGTTTCCTCTGCCAAAGTTTGTCTTTAGGACAATTTGTTTGGAGTGAGCCGTGGGCCTCCCAGAAGGGGGTGAAAGGACGCTCGTGGAGTTGGGATTTTATAAAACATGCCTTCAACAGCAATTTTCTGAAGCTGTTTTGACGTTTCAGTGGATTTTCAACTTGGCCTAACGTTGGAATAACACGGGGGAAGATATAGAAAAGAAATATGGATGCCTGGGTCCTATGCTCTGTCCTCAGCACTTCTGATGTAACTGCTCCCGGGTTAGAGACCAGTCAACCTAATTTGAGAATTGGTCTCTATCCTTTCCATGTAAGTCCTGCCCTTTTACATTTCCTTCTCTGCCTAATTGTGTGCAGGGAATGAGTAAAGAAGTAGAACCCACGTCCATTCAATGACTTACAATCAGAAAACTGTCAGCTCAGGTGCCAAAGGGGTGGACGGAAGGGGGCAGAGAAGATGCCCCGGCCCCACAATGCAGGACTTCAAGAAAATGGGGTGCAGGGTGTCCTGAAGGAAAAGCCATTCCAAAGTTGGGGACTGACTTCATCTCCTGAATATCTTATATTCAGGCACATTTCAGAGGCATACCACATAACAAACTAAACACACACAAAACTTTAAAATACACTTCCACTTTTAATTTAAAAAATAAATAACAGCAAATCTGAACAAAACTCTTCTACGCCAATGCACGTCTTTGTAACTGTCCCTGTTGGAAACTCAACTAGATACAGAACCACAAAGGAAAGGAATCCTCGACAACGTTTAGAGAGACAATTGACAAAAGGTGACGAACGCACAAGTTTGGACAGTAGATACTGGAGACCAGCTCTGGTTCGATCCTAAGAATCAGAACGAAATCATTTACCCGAAAGGAAAACCGGCTTTTTCCTTTTGTAAATTAGAATTGAGGGCTCAATTTTTAATTCACCCCAAGAGAAACTTACCTTTTCCAATGTAATTAAGAAAAAAAAAAAAAAAGACCTATAGTGGAATGAGTTTCCAAGGAAGTGATATTTATCAATTTCCCAAATAACGTACGGGGGAAAAAGCACAATGATTAAAATGAGCTAGAAGTTTAATTACAGTGAATGCAGCCTGTGTGCCCGGAGAAATCTGAAGATTATGACATTGTTTATAAACTGTTGCAGAAACTTATGGTAATTCATGTGAATATTGCAACATGTACTGGATTATTGGCATAGTCATAATTTTAATGTCTACAAGTCTTTTGATCTCGATAGTCACGGTACAGCAGGATCAAAACACCAACTAGAGATGAGAAATGGGAACTTATAAAAGCATTTGTACACAAATTTAGCTTCCTCCTGATTCTCCCTCTCTTGTTGTCCACTTACAATGAGAGAAGTGAGGGCCGAAAGAGTTCTAAAAATCACGTAGTCTCAACCTCTTTTTTAAAACAAATGAGATTGAAACCCAGGAACTGATCACAAATTGACTTCTTGAACGGTAGAAAATCTTTCTAGTCTTGCTTTGTGGTGGTGATGGTGGGTTTTTTTCCTCCCTTTTTGTTCTACCCGAGAAGTGAGAGTTAGGAAGGCACAAATGTGAAAGGCCTTTCCACACAGTGGTGCCACGGGCACACAGGAACCTTCTGGGGGCTGGAGAGAGTCTATGTCTGTAGCTGAGAGGTGGTAACACGGGTGTAAAGCTAGGTGAAGATTCACCCATCTGCACACCTAAGATATGTGCCCTTAACTGCACATAAGTTCCTTATTTTAAAATGAGAAATCCAGCCAGACACAGTGGCTCACGTCTGTAATCCCAGCACTCTGAGAGGCGGAGGTGGGAGGATCCCTTAAGCTCAAGAGTTCAAGACCAGCCTGAGCAAGAGCAAGACCCTGTCTTTACTTAAAAAAAACCCCTGAAATATTAGCCAGGTGTGGTGACTGTAGTGCCAGCTACTCAGGAGGCCGAGGCAGGAGGAACATGGGAACCCAGGAGGCTTGAGGTTGCTGTGAGCTAGGCTGATGCCAGGTCACCCTTATTAACAGAGTAAGACTCTGTTCCAAAAAAAAAAAAAAAAAAGAAAGAAAAAGAAAAAAAAGATCTGTCCAAGACCTGGCGAGGAAAGAGTTAATAAAGGTAGACTATTGTCACATCCTGCTTTACATCTGGTTTTATCGAACAGATCAGAAGTGTAGCTGCAGTTTTTATGGGCCTTTCTGTCAAGGTCCAGGAGTTCAGGTGGAGGAGGAAACAATCCTTCATACAACAGGGTCACTGCCATCTGTTACCACTCACTCTCCAATCCTACAGCACCCTAGTGTCAATGTCTCTGTACACCAGGGCTGTTTCAACTAAGCATACTGCATCACCACATCCCCATGGGCTAGAACTGTGCCTGGAGTTCCATAGGAACTTAATATATGTGGACTAAAACAATCCTTTAAAAAGATCCCCCCAAACCCAAAAGACCTCAAAGCCAGATGAGTAACCAGACCAGAGACAGAGAGAAAGAAAAAAAAAGGGGGAGGGGATTAAAAAATATCACCGAAAACCTACAAACCACAAACACAAAGGTTGTGATAATTTGGGGGCTAATTTAAGGTTGTGATAATTTGGGGGCTAATTTAAATGTCTTTCACTATTGCAGAAATTAACCCAGAAAGATAAAGCACCGCCCTTTCCCTTTTCCTCCCTGGTCCTTGTTTCTTCTATATTTAGTGTAATCATGTGGCATTTCTCTGCAGTTTTCCTCTCTGGCTTCAGGACAGGCATTACAGATGACTTTTCGTCAAATGTGACTATTTCTTACTTGACAGCTTCCCAAGAAAACAAACCCTCCAATGTCCTCTGTAATCTATTGTCCACAACACTACCTAGAATCCTTTGTGTCCAGGCAGAAAGAGGAATTATTTCCATTCATGTGGAAGAAGAATCAGATGGAAAAATATATTGAAAAAGGGAAGCTATCTGGGCACTGATGTATGAACCTTTGCCTCTGTTCAAAGACCAGACTGTGGGACTCACTTTGCACTGGAAGATCAGTTTGAAGTTTTTATTGGTGACCTGGTTAATCTTTCTATAATATTTTAATGGTAACCCCAAAAGTAGGGTGAGGCACACAAATTTCCTCTTTCCAGACTGCACAGTGACTTCTCAGAAGTTGTTCCAGGCTCCTCCATCCCCTATAGGGCTTGAGTTGTGTTTATGTAAAATCCTCTTCAGTTCTTATAAATGCTTTGTCTCTGTTCATAAATAATTTTGTGAAAGGCTCCAAAAGATGCCATCTGTTGGAGAAGGGCTATCCATGAACTCACATTCCAAATTACTTTTTTTTTTTTAAATGGTATATCAATAATGTCAGAAAGTTCCAGCTCTTACTCAGGCCCAGCAGAGAAAAGAAAGGACCATTGCAGTAGCACCTAGCCCTTCATATACTCCATCTCATTTGAACTTCCCAGCAGCTGGTGTCGGAGGTCTTACTGGGAAGGTGAGCAGAAAGGAAACTCAGAGAATTACAAATAACTCATGGGAGTTTACAAAGTTAATAGATGACATTGCTGGGATTTGAAACCATATGAATTTAATTCCAAAGCCCACATTTTTTCATGATCCTACACTGCAAGTTTTCCTGGTTGGGGACAAAGGGTACTATTCTCCACGCTTCTAGAAGATCCACACGAATTTCTTGAGTCGCACACTGGACTCGCCTCAGAGGTGTTTCCTTGCCTCTTGTGATAAACGGGCATGTGTTTCTCCTGAAGGGGCTGGCAGGGGACAGGCAGGCAGAGAGTCGGGCAAACACCAAGTCACACAGCTGCAACTCTCTGCTCTCTCCACCTCCTTCTCACGGAGAGGGCTGTGGGCCAGGTTGGAGAAAAGACCCCTGCTGAGCTTCAGCCACGATGACCCTCAAATTCAGGCAAAAAGCTTTCTGCTTTGCCACAAATACCTAAGTACCGTGTTTCCCTGAAAATAAGACACTGTCTTATATTTATTTTTTCTCAAGAAAACACACTAGGGCTTATTTCCAGGGGATGTCTTCCTCTCCGCACCAAAATGCAGGGCGTGACTATGCAGCGTATCTGAATCCATCACTAGGTCTTATTATTGGGGTAGGGCTTATATTTGAAAATGCATAGAAATCCTGCTAGGGCTTATTTTGGGGGTGGGTCTATTTTCAGGGAACCACGGAAGTTTAGAAATATCTGGGGCATTTCAAATACTGTTCCAACTAGGGGAAGACATTAAGAAATTTGTCCAGAGTTGTCCTCTAGATCTAAGTGTTACCTGGGCATAGCCTAATTTAGCAAGCAGGGTTATTAGTAAGACCCTGTAGTACAATTTTCATGGGTAGCCTCGATTTCCTCATCTACTAAATGAAGGGGGTTTGGGGATAACCACAGAGGCCCTGCCAGCTTCACCAGCCATAGGTGTGTGTGGCTATTGATGTATGCGTATGTAATATTTGGTCATTAAAATCACCCTGTTTTTTTTTTCTTCTGAAAGGAGTACTGATGGTTAGTACCATTAGCAAGTAATCAAAGTAATTCCACAACCAAGAGGAATAAATAACCAAAGGGGAATATTGCACTGTAATCTCCAGGGTAAAGTCAGGTAGCAGATAGAGGCCAGGGAGTCGTCCAAATGGGATGTGGAGAAGAAGCTGCTGAACCTGGACTCCTAAGTCCCATGTCGTCAGTGACTTGAGCTCAGAGCAGGGACCCGGCAAAGACTGTATGTGCAAAAGAAAGGTCTTCAAAGGGGTTTGTGGTAAGAAGGAGCGACCGCCGTGCAGCGAGGGCCATTGGCTAGGAGTGTGGTGGAATTCTGGTGGGCAACAGGCAGAGGGCAGCTTTCCTGTGCCACGAAGGATGGGGTGAGGGGACGCAAGAGCTCAGGGTTCCTGTTTTTTCAGTAATGGTTGCCACACATGCCTCAAAGCAGACAATCCTGGTGAAAAACGTGTGTTCTTTTCTTCAAAGGAGACACGGCAAGATACAATTGTTTTGGCCACCAAAGCTCCTGGGACATCCATCTCTTCCAGGATGCTACCTGGGACAGGATACGTACATCCCCATGAGAAAAGTAACTAAGTCTCAGCACAGCTTTTCAGAAGCAAAGTGAGAAATCCCTTCGAGGCGTAGGTTACCAGGGGGGTGCGCCACCAACAGTGCAAAAGAAACTTGTCCACACCCCAGCGTCTCTGTAGCAGAGGCTTCAACGTAATAAGGTGAAGGAGATCTCTCCTTTCAAAAACGCACAGGACGTGGCCAATTCTGGAGCTCCCTGTAGACTGGAGGGGATGTGGCCTCAAATATCGACCAAAGGAAGCTTCTGGAAGAATAAAACCGTCCTAGAGCAGGCAACGCAGTCAGCAGGGAGCCCAGTGCAATGAGGAAATTTCTCAGGCAGCAGGTGTCCAAGGCACTCGGAGTTTCAGACAGAGAGCGAGATCCTCACTGGGATCCAGGCTCAGAAGAAAGGATGCTGGACTTTCGAGTTTTTGGAGGTGGCGGGGGTGGGACTTTGGCTTCTCTTCGGACAGGCAGAGGGGGGGCGATCTGTAAGGGTACACAGGTGAAATCAGAAGAGGGTCTCACCTTTCCTCCCAGTTCCGCCTTCTCCTTCCCACAGTCCACATTCCACTTTCGCTTCTAATCGATCTGAGTTTATCGGTACAGCTTTGGCAAGGTAGAAGGGAAATAAGACAGACTCGCCCTCCCTCTTTCTCGTCAAGCGAATCAGACACATACACACAATGACTGCTCTATCCAGAACACTCGGGTTCCTGGCATGTATAGAGGCATTCAGCAGAGTCTGGATGAATGATGGAAACCCATCTGAACCCACCACAGAATGAAACTCTTCAACGTGCACCAGAACTCATTCATTTCACTCCCCTGTCCCTAGGCAAGGGAGAGAGAATATCTCCTCTGCCTTCTCTCGCAGGAAAAAGTCTGCTTGCGTATCACCGAATCCCTATCTCTTGTGGTTTCAGGAGTGAACCCAGAATGGATGACAGGGACGGTCCATGGGCAAACCTGCCTACTGAAAAGCTCGGAACGTCCACCATCCCCTCGGGAGTGGCGTTCCCTGGCGCGGTCTGCTGTCACCCGCCTACCTCAGTGGAGGTCCATGGGCTGCTCTCATAGGGCTTGCTCTTGGGGGGTGGCGGGGGTGGGACAGGAGTAGTCACCAGGCCGTCCACCTGCAAAGATGGGGAGCCTAGCAATGACAAGAAGCACACAGAAAAGACTGTATCAGAGAATCTCATTGAACACAGAAGACAACCTGGTTGACCGAATCGATAAGACCATATTCTGTTTAGGGCGGCACCTGTGGCTCAGAAGGGTAGGGCGCCGGTCCTATATGCCAGAGGTGGCAGCTTCAAACCCAGCCCTGGCCAAAAACTGCAAAAAAAAAACAAAAACAAAAACAAAAAAACTCCTATATTTTGTTTAGAGATGGGTCTTGCTCTGTCGCCTAGGGTGGAGTGCAGGGGTACAATCACAGCTCCCTGCAGCCTCAAACTCCTGGGCTCAAGCAATCCTTCTTGAGTAGCCGGGACTAGAGGCATGCACCACTACACCTGGCTAATTTTATTTTTTTTGCAGAGATGCCATCTAGCTACATTGCCCAGGTTGGTCTTAAACTCTTGGCCTCGGGCAATTCTCCCATTTTGGTCTCCAAAGTGTTGGGATTACAGGCATGAGCCCTTAAGACATATTTATGGTTTCTGTGGACGAAATGAAAAAGACCTCTTGCCCCACATGACAGAGGCAATGCCCTTCGTTCACCAGGAGTTTCATGACATGTCCTGAAGTCAAGCGTCTATCTTTTTGCTCAGAGTTTTCTATTACTAAACTGAGGATGAAAATATTTTCTCGACCTTCTGGTTGTACTCTATTCTCTGATATCCCCAAGTGCTTAAGAAAACATCCTCTCCTCTAGAAACTTTAACTGATTCTTTGTAAAACTTGGTCGATCGTTGTCTCCCATTCATTGATAGATGTATCCCCCCAAACTATGCCTCTGTACTAGGGGACTCTGTAATTCTTCCCAAGGGTTGTGTACCCTGGTCCCTTAAGCCAGACTGGAAGTCGTATCTAGAATGGGTATAACTCCTTGTCCCTACACAGGTCTCTCTGCCCCATAGTTCATCCATAAGTTAATTGCTTTCTGTCTGGCCCTAGTCCCGATCCACCTCATTTATCCTGCACAGCTGGAAAAGGGACATGAAGACCCTTTGGATCACGAGTCCTGATGGCCCAAGGCTACCTTGATAAACTCCAGTCTACCCGTATTTTGCTGTGCACAGTACACACCGTTTTGGCCCAAACTTTTGAGGGAAAAAGAAGGATGTTCATTATACATGGGTGGTACTACTTTTAGCAGTACATAAAATGCTTCGTACCTCCTATCTGTTGTGTTGTATAATTGTTATGTAAAATTTCTTATAGCGTGTTAAAAAATAAATGCTAAAATCCCTTTCTAATATAGAAAACAATGACCTGAATATAAACAAATGAAAATTTGAGTTAAATAATTAAAACAAAAGATTTTTTTTTTTTTTACTGAAAGTTTGAGCTCAAAATGTGGATGAGCTTTATACTTGGGAGTGCATCACACACGGCAAAATACGGTAACAGTACAGCCCGTCATCTTCATCGCTCCACTGAACTGAACCAACTTTGAATGGTCCCACACATTTTGTGGCTGGCTTAATGCAAAGTGCTCAGATTCCCGAACAGGCCCTGTTCCTTAGTAAAAAGAACAAAAGGAATTTAGGAAAACTTACTTAGGGTCCTGGTAGCCTTAGGAGTGAGTGGAGGTGGGCTCAAGGGTGTTAACTGAGGAGGTGAAGAACCGTGAAATGGCGTGAGCCGATTGTCCATCAGCTGGAGACTCTTTGGTCTTTGCGCTTTTCTGGTGGGGCTCTGGGACCAGGCAAGAAAACACAGCACAACAGTGTCACAGGGAGGAAGGCTGAGCTCAGCGAGCCTCTGACCAGCCTTCTATACAGGGACCTAAACAGGGGCCTACGGCCCTGGGGTGGGCAGCAGGGCAGAGCTACGACCTGGATACTCTGACCCACAAGTTATTTCCCAGCTGGATGTGAACATGGTGTTACCCACAGTTGCACAGTGTGTCACTGATGTTGGAAAGAAGCCACCCTGATTCTCAGGGAAAATTGGTCTTGTCACACTTAACCACTTGAGGTGGCTTATGGAAAAAGAGTGTCTTTTCTAAAAAAAATTTAAAACTAGAAATGACAATGGTTAGACTGACTCCATGGACCCCAGTGACAAGCAAGAACCACAACTTTATGGTGTAAAGTATAAACAGCCACACAAGTTTATGTTGTGGGTACAAGATCTTGCATCAATATTGATTCACAGACTCAGAATTCTCCACGTGGGCTCTTCTCACCACAATCTGTAATCTGACCCTACCACGGGCTGTTGTATGTCCTGAGACAAGCCACAGCTAGCCTTCTGTCCGGTGACACACTGCCACAGACAGAATGGTGATGTGTCTAGAGACAGAGGAGGTGGTGGGAAGCCGCCAGGGCAGTGATTTTTTGTTTGTTTGTTTGTTTTACCATGAGATCAGGTTCTGGAGCTTTCTCTGCAATGACCTGGGACTTGCTCAGACTCCAGTCTTTTCTCTTGAACTTGCTGATGCGGTTCTCACCGTCCTCTCTGAGCGGCAGATCTTCAACTCTGGCACCAGACGAGGCCCTGCGCTCTAAAAGTGGCTCCAGGATCGACCTGTCCGCAAGCAATAGGACGAAAATGACAAATGTGGATTGACAGGCAGTCAAAGTTCACTCCACAAGGCCCTGAGGTTTTGAGTCCTTATATCAGTAACTTGACTCATGAGTTCACTCTCAGGCTCTAAATCTAAATTTTTATTTTATTTATTTTAATTTTTTTTTGCAGTTTTCGGCTGGGGCCGGGTTTGAACCTGCCACCTCTGGCAAATGGGGCCAGGGCCCTACCCCATGAGCCACAGGCGCTGCCCTAAATCTAAATTGTGTTTTGGAAATAAGCCACCCTGATTCTCAGGGAAAACTGGTCTTGAGACATAGCCTCAAACTGTCACCCTGGGTAGGGTGCCGTGGCATCACAGCTCACAGCAACCTCCAATCGCTTAAGCGATTCTCTTGCCTTAGCCTCCCAAGTAGCTGGGACTACAGGCGCCTGCCACAACACCCTAAATCTAAATTTTTAATCCCAACTGAACAAACATCTCATGGTGTAAATGTACAGAGACCATCAAATGTCTAGATGAAAATATTACTGAATACTTATTTATCTTATCCCCAGAACAAAGGGTCTTAATTAATCTACAGGCACATCCAGCCATCTCAACACTGGGTATATACCCAAAGGAAATGAAGTCATTTTATGAAAAAGTCACCTGCACGCAAACCTTTATCCCAGCACAATTAACAGGTGGAAAGATGAGGAGGCATAAACCTAAATGCCCATCAATTCCCAAATGGTTAAGAAAATATGGTGCACATATAGACAAAGGGTGCCCCCCAAATTTATACAAATTTAAGAAGGGAAAAAACTGAATTGAAATTGTAATGCTCTAGTTGCATTTGACTTTTGCAATTATAAGAGGTACTGAACATAACTTGTTATTTATCTTGCTATTAGTACATATTCACTATTACAATTTTAACCCAGTTTTTTCCTTTCTTAAATGTGTATCCATTTTTTGGCTCCCTCTGTGTATACCATGGAGTCCTATTCAGCCATGACAAGGAATGAAAAAATAAAGAGATGAATAACTTGGGTGAAACTGGAGACGATTATTCTAAGTGAAGTATCTCAGGAATGGAAAACTAAATACCATATGTTCTCACTGGTAAGTGGGAACTAAGAGATGGGTACGCACAGGCAGAAAGTGATATAAAGGATGTGAGGCCGAGAGAGGGGGGGGGAGCCGATGCGTGTGGGACACAAGTTTACCTGTTGGGTATAAGGAATACCATTCTGCTGATGGGCACACCAAAAACTCCAACATAAGATATCCATGTAACAAATACACTTGTGCCCTTAATTAATATTTTGAAATTAAAAAAATCAAAACCTTAAATAAAAATGTAAACATTTATAGGCAAGGACAGAATCTACAAAGTAGCTTCCACAGTTTTCTGCAACGGATAATAGCACAGGCTTTGCAGCCAGGAAGCTCACGTTCAAATCCGGCCTATACTACTTCTAAGAGTATCATAATCACTGGAAAGCTATGCGCATAGGCTTGGTGCCTGTGGCTCAAGCAGCTAAGGCACCAGTCACATATACCTGAGCTGGCGGGTTGGAATCCAGCCCAGGCCTGCCAAACAACAATGATGGCTGCAACCAAAAAATACCCGGGCGTTGTGGCAGGCGCCTGTACTTCCAGCTACTTGGGAGGCAGAGGCAGGAGACTTGCTTGAGCCCCAGAGTTGGAGGTTGCTGTGAGCTTTGATGCCACAGCACTCTACCCAGGGGGACAGCTTGAGGCTCTGTCTCAAAAAAAAAAAAAAAAGGAAAGCTATACGTATAAATGTTTGTTGTAATTTTAAATGTATTTTATATTGATATAGTATTTCTGTATTAAAATGCATAATGAATTTATATTTTAACTTGTTTGCAAATGAGGACACAGCTCTAATATTCCATAGTAGGAAGAGGATTAATTCTGGCACATTCTACCCCCATCAAAATGGTAACAAAAATGGTATTAACAGTACCATGGTATTAATGGTAAAATGGTATTCCAGCAAAAAGGAAAATGTTTACAATAAAAAAGAGGAAAAGAAAAATACTAAAGTATCACTTTGCTATAATTGGAGCTAAGTAAAGATACCTCTGTCCATAAAAAAGGGGGTGGAAATGATTTCAGAAAAATTATATATTTGATTTCCAGGCAGGGAGCCATTTGGGTCGGTTATTTTACAATATAATTATTATAGAGTTAAACATTTATAAATAAATGGTGAGTCGAGTGACGTGACTTATAGTTAACACTATCTTAAATATTTAATGATATGTAAATACTTATTTATATTGAATTAAGCAGCAGGCCACAAAATAACAGATCCAGTGCTTCCCCCCTGGTATAAAAAGGATACATACTTTTTTGTATTATATAACTAAATCTGAACGGGATTATCTGTAAGTGAAGCTGCTAAGCATTTTGTCTTTTAATAGCTTCTGGTATTTTAGTAATGTATTATTTAAAAAGAGTAACTGTAGACGGAACACAACTATAAATTCACTCCTTTCAAATATTTAAAATTCGAGCATATGGAAAGGCCTTTCATATTTCTGGCAAGGAAGCCTCAACATCAAAAAGCCATCAATCTTCCTAACGTGAGTCCATAAATGTAACACGATCCCAGTAAAAATAGCAATAGGATTCTAGACAAATAAATCCCAAAGTGAGCAATGAGCAAAACCCGCCAGATTAAATTCTGAAAAGAAATTCTAGAAGATGAGAATGTTTTAAATCTACAGTAATTAAAGCTGCACAGTACTGGTGCACGGGCAGACAGGTAGATTAAATAGGGAGAAACGCCCACAAGTAGATGAAATAACATATACAAATTTGATTTTTAATGAAAGTGACATTTTAAATTAGTAGGAAAAAGGCGGTTTGCTCACTAAACGTTACAGGGAGAACTGGACAAAAGGTGGCTCCACACCTCACAAATTATATTCAATTCCAAAGACTCACGGATTTAATTGTGAGTAGTGAAACCCTAACTAAAGTAATAAATATATAAATTAAATATAAATTTAAAAATTTTTCTTCAAAACTAATATGAAAAAAATTAGGCAATGAGTATAAGGTATGTAATAGGGTGGTAGGACGTTTTCATTCTCTGCTATTAGTAACTGTTGTTACCATTATTTTTTTATTAAATAATAGCTGTGTCTATTAATGCAATCATGGGGTACAATGTGCTGGTTTTCTATAAAGTTTGAAATGCTCTCATCAAACTGGTCAACATAGCCTTCGCGGCATTTTCTTAGTTATTGTGTTAAGACATTTATATTCTACACCTAGTAAACTTCACATGTACCCTTGTAAGATGCACCGTAGGTGTGGTCCCACTGACTACCCTCCCTCCACTCACCCTCCCCCCTCCACTCCCTCTCCTCTTTCCCCTTCTTCTTGGGCTGTAATTGGGTTATAGCTTTCATATGAAAGCTATAAATTGGTTTCATAGGAAGACTGAGTACATCGGATACTTTTTCTTCCATTCTTAAGATACTTTGCTAAGAAGAATATGTTCCAGCTCCATCCATGTAAACATGTAAGAGGTAAAGTCTCCATCTTTCCTTAACGCAGCATAATATTCTGTGGTGTACATGTTAATAGTGGCATTCTTCAAGAGGGAGACAATGAGAGTGACCCAGAGGCTGATCACGTTGACTAAGCTTCATTCTAGTGACCAAAGGCAAACGTGAGTAAGGTGTCACCCTCAACCCCTCCTAGAGGTTAAAGATCAAACGCTTACCCATCAGATCCTGGCCTGGAAGGGGCATTGTCAGATGACGTGGAGGAGGTGGAAACCACCGAGGACGCCATGGAGGTGATGGACAGCCTCCGCAGGGTGGAGGACATGATGTAAGGGAGCACCATCGACCCCGTGCGGCTCTGCTTCCTCTCTGTCAAGCTGGGGGGCTGAAAAACAGACGACCTCTCACGGTTAGAGACGGGCGGGACTTCAGCCCCTGTGAACTGGCTTGGCGCCCTGTTTGAGGCTAACCAGAATTCACTGGCACTGGCTGGCCCCCCGTTCTGACCGGTTGGTGCCAGGGCTGCTGCAGTTGCCAATGTTTATATTCTCAGCTATAAACACAAATTAGGTTAAAACTTACCCTGTTTCTAAGACGAGAGGAAAAGTCATTATAATTTTTTGCCAGACACACAAGAGAAACTAAGACGTACTTTGTCCTCCAATAAAATAGCAAAATGCTCGGTCTGCTTCTCTAGCTTAGCTTCTTTGAGTCTTTTAAAAAATGAAATAATGGCCTAATATAAAATTTTCAGATCGAATCTGTAGACCTAAAGCTTAAAACTAATGAACTTCAGCAGGTGTGGGAGCGCCAATCTACATTCATAAGAAGTGTCACAAGTAGATAACCCTGTCCACCATCATATTGAATTTACTCACTTATACTGACTTATATTGGCCTAGTTTCTTTTTTTTCTTTTTGTGTGTTTTTTTTTTTTTTGAGACAGAGTCTCACTATGTCACCCTCAGTAGAGTGTCGTGGTGTCACAGCTTATAGCAACCTCCAACTCTTGGGCTTAAGCAATTCTCTTGCCTCAGCCTCCCAAGTAGCCGGGACTATAGGCACCCGCCATAATGCCTGGCTATTTTTTGGTTGTAGTTGTCATTGTTGCTAGCTGGTCCAGGCTGGGTTTAAACCCGCCAGCCTCAGTATATATGGTTGGCACCATAACCACTGTGCTACCAGTGCTGAGCCATTTTCTTTTTCTTTTTGGAGATAGAGTCTCACATTTGTCACCCTCAGTAGAGTGTTGTGGCGTCACAGCTCACAGCAACCTCAAACTCTTGGGCTCAAGCAATTCTCTTGCCTCAACCTCTTGAGCAGCTGGGACTACAGGTGCCCGCCATAACGCCTGGATATTTTTACAGACAGGATCTCACTCTAGCTCAGACTGGTCTCGAACTCATGAGCTGTAGCTATCTATCAGCCTCGGCCTCCCAGCGTGCTGGGATTAGAGGCGTGAGCCACCACACCTTGCCCTACTGGCCTCGTTTCAATAATGACTAAGCTCATTAAATCCAAAGCAGAGTCTTGACTGCCTAGGAAATTGTGTGCAAAAGACAAACGCTCCTGTAAGAAAACGTTTAACTAAGAGCAGGTTAAAAGACAAATTCTGAGGAAGAAAGGAAGAGTGAAGACTCTCAGGGCTGAAAAAGATGGTCAAAAAGATCTTCTGGAGGAAACTAGGGCAGAGATAGAAGGAACAGGGGAGCAGAGGACCTGAAAAGAGATTCAAAGCTTTGACTCGAGGAAAGAATCTGAAAAGTCAGGGGTTAAAGAATAAGACCATTAAAGAGGGTAAATGCAAACAAAATGAGTAGGTAAGTGATGCTCGCACCAATCACACAACCCTGGAGAGGAAAGGTGAGCGCGTGCGTACTCCACCCTGCTGCTCAGGAGGCAAAAAGAAAATCGTAGGTGTGAGGAATGTGTTAAAACTGTCAAAAAAATAAAATAGAAAGAAATCAGCTACATGACACTGAAAAAAACAATTCATCATTCTTTCTCCCCTTCAAAGGAGTTAAGACGATAAACTTCTCATCAAAATAGATAATATTTTTAAGATCAGCAAAAACTGTAAGAATTTAGTTAGCACAGGAATAACCAGGGTCTAGGTGTGGGGAAACCCCAACTTCTGGCATCAGTATCTGACCCGAAGCATCAGTATCACCTGGACCCTTGTCAGAAGTGGACATACTTGGGCCCCTCTCCCAGACCCATGGACTCAGAAACTCAGGGCAACCTGTGTTTGCACAAGCCCTCTGGGTGGTTCTGATGGTTCAAATTTAAGAACCTCTGTCAAGCCCAAGGATGGTTCAAAGTCATTAAGAGCAGAACGAGCTTTCTCCCAGCTGCCCCGGTATTTTCATGCCAGCGCTAAGCCATTATGGCTCATCTGATCAGTGCCGTAAAAGGTCAAAGAAGCTAGAAAAAGCAGAAAGGCCAAGCCTACCAGCGTTATAACCCCGTAGAGCTTCTCCACTTTCTCCTTGAGCTCCCGGAAGCAGGAGGACAACCGGTCGTGCAGGGGCTTGAGCTGCTCCGTCAGCTTCTCACCGTGGATGCGGATCCCCTCCGTCAGCAGAGGCATCTGGGAACAGGGCACAGAGGGGATGAAATGCGGCTTACGGGGAGGCCATCAGGATTTGGAGGCAGGCCAGGGTGGGGTGGGAGCTAGAGGGCAGAGCGCCCATCCAGTGAGGCCCCTTCTCAGCTCAGAGCTTGTGAACTGGAGGGACTGTGGTCTACAATGAAGAGAGAGACACGGCAAGGCCACAGTCGGCCCCTGGCTGGCGAAGGGCTGGGGGCAAACCCGACAGAGCCCTGGGGCACATCTGTGGGTGAGCGACTGATGGGTTGGGATGAACTGGACGGTTTCATTTTCTACCACTGTCCACTGAAGTCGTGGGAAAGAACAAAACAAGGCCCAAGTCTCCCGGCTAGAAATACAGGCCAGGAGACCCACGATGGGCTTTCATCTGGGCGTTAAGAAGGTCCCTGTCAAGTTTAACCAGATGCTGCCCCTAAGTCACGCTGCCAAACAAACCAATAAATAAGTAGGTTGTGGGTCCATACCCACAGGGGGTTCAAAAAAGATAGGACAGTAACCCTGAACGTGGGCTTGCAGATTTGAGCCCAGGGGAAGGTGGCGGATTCCCTCGGGCCCCACAGCAGCTGCCCTGCACAGCCCGGGCACCTGTAATGCTATGAGTCGCTTCAGCAGCTCCACCTTCTCCTGGTCCTCAGGGTGCTCCTGCAAGTACTTCTCTGTGAAGAAAGCCTGAAAGAACAGCATGTCCAGTACTAATTAGAATTAATTAGAACACATTCCGATTTATGCATATGACCCTACGAGGGAAGGGTGAACCCTCTCCTCTGTTCTGATAAACCAGGAATGTCTAACGAAAACTTCATTCCTCTTCCAGGAAACCCCTCATCCCAGGGTGAACAATTTTTAACAGTATGTGCTATTGGGAGCCGGGCAAATTCCTAGCAAGGTTACAGTCTCAGTAATCAACACGCACACACACATTTCAAATAACAGAAGGACAATGTCTAAAGTTAATAATTAGGTGCACAGATAGGAGGGAAAGAGCAAAAGGTCAAGAGGCAGGTGACAGAGCTGAGAGTTTTTCTGTCTTCCGTTATGATTCTATGTTGGCACCATGATCGTCAATGATATTCATAACCCTTTCAGCAAAAGGCCCATAACAGGGAAAGAAAAATCCAAGATCAATTCCAAACACAGGCCTTGCATAGGAAAACATTTTTAAGATAAAATTCATTAGTAAAGAGAGAGGAAACTGTTTTTTTTGTTTTGCAGTTTTTGGCCAGGGCCAGGTTTGAACCCGCCACCTCCAGTATATGGGGCTGGCGCCCTACTCCTTTGAGCCACAGACGCCGCCCTCATTAGTGAAGAGAAATAGAAGTTTGTAGCACACGTTTCCAGCAGCATCTAAGACAGGGGTTACGTTACATAACGTTTCCTCCTGGGACCTGAACCTCCTTCCCCAAGTGCTTCTTTCAAAGACCAACCTTCCAAGTTCCCCTTCATGCTTTCTGCTTTGCTGCTTTGAGAGCCCAAACCCCATTCTATAAAACCCGAAGTCTCCTGAAACCACAGAAAAAAATTATACCAGCAATCGGGCCAACGCGTGTGGCCAACAGAATGCAAGCAAACTCTCCCGTGTGGGCAGAGGTCACCAACGTGGTGGAGGTTCTGCCCTACGCAAGCCTTGTGTGATGTTCACTATATACAGAAGGGCTCCCTTGGTCCTCCAACCAACCCTGTGAGCTAGGTAATTTCCTCACTTTACAGATACATGAAGCTCAGAGAGGTGAAGCATGTTGGCCAAGAGTGCACAGCAGTCCATGGAAAGTCAGAATCAGGTCCCAAGGGAGACTGATGGGAAAGGCCCCTGCTCTTCCCAGGACACAGGGACGCATGGACACAAAGCCCAGCCCACGGAGCGCTCACTCTTCTCAGTAACCCCTTTCTCTCCACCCACTCTCCAGGTGCCCCCACAGGGGTTTTCTTGCCAAATGTCGACCTGTATTCAAGAAGAGGACTCCAAATAGTTAGCTGCTGAACACAAACTGTAGCAATGGAAAATCCTGCCTCTACCCGTTGTATGTAACAGAAACTAAACACATCACCTGCATGTTAAATTGTGCTACATCCAAACCCCACGTGATGGATTCAAGTGTGCCAAGTACCCCTTCTATGGCTGTTCAGGACAACAGACTTCATTCAACTTCAGCATGTCCCCAAAGTGGCCATACATTAAGAAAACAGACATCTGGGGTGGCCCCTATGGCTCAAAGGAGTAAGGCCTATATAATATTGTAAATATTATAATAAATATTTTGTAAATAAAGGTACACTTAGCTACAATTTCCCATCCCCCCCCCCCCATGTACGATGAGTTGTGGGACACCCTATAATTTAACTGTAGACACAGGGCCACCATTTATTTGTCCATTTGACTCATGACACACCAAGCCAGGGGAGGGGGCTCCTAGAAGCTAATTCTGAACAGAGTGTGGCTGTGCCTTCCCCAGAGATGCTGCTTCCATTCCAGAGCATCCTGGTTCTGGAGTCCACACGGTTGCCTTATACCTCTCAGGGGGTACAACCAATGGGACAGGTGACAGCAGATGAATTGGCCATAGTGGGTTATTTCAGTGACACTTTACTAAGCAGTGGTCTACATCCGTGGCTGACTGTCTGTAAGAGGTAAGAGGTGTGAGGGCAGGACCAATCTTTTCGCTAACTTCACGTGCCTATTCACAGACAGAGGAGAGAGAACATCACTCAGAGAAGTTGTAGGAAACAAATTAACCCCTGGCTCAATGGTACCAAGGGAAGTCCTGCAGGTTCTGACCAGTGGCTCAATGGACCAAGAAGAGTTCTGCGGGGTTCTGACCAGTGGCTCAATGGACCAAGGGGAGTCCTGTGGGGTTCTGACCCATGGCTCAATGGCAGTGAGGGAGTCCTGCGGGGTTATGACCAGTGGCTCAATGGTACCAAGAGGAGTTCTGCGGGGTTCTGACCAGTGGCTCAATGGACCAAGGGGAGTCCTGTGGGGTTCTGACCCATGGCTCAATGGCAGTGAGGGAGTCCTGTGGGGTTATGACCAGTGGCTCAATGGCAATGAGGGAGTCCTGAGGGGTCAGGGGCCCAGCCCACTTTTTTTTTTTTTGAGACACAGTCTCACTATGTCGCCCTTGGTAGAGTACCATGGTGTCACAGCTCACAGCAACCTCAAACTCTTGGGCTTAATTGATTCTCTTGCCTCAGCCTCCCAAGTAGCCCAACGCCCAGCTATTTTTTTGCTACAGTTTTTTAGCTGGACTGAGCTAGGTTTGAACTCGCCACCTTCAGTGTATGTGCCTGGCACCATAACCACTGTGCTACGGGCACTGAGCCCCAGCCCACCTTCTCGTAGTTGGAGAAGCCGCCCATGACAGCAGGGTCCACGATGCCGCTGAGCAGCATGGACAGGGGGTGCAGGGAGAGCGAGCGGTCCCAGGCATGCTGCTGCACACAGTTGCTGATCTTCTCATTGGTCAGCTCCATGGTTTCGATGGCATTCTCCAAAGGGCTGACCTCCTCCTGAGTGACAGAACGCATGGGGTGGGAAAGGACATCATGTCAGCACCAGCAAAGAAAGTTCGTTCAACTGGCCCCCTCAAGGTTAAGCTTCTTGGGATTCACAGGGTGGTAAGGTGCAAAATAAGCTATTTAAGACCTCCTTAGAAAACAGAATGAAGACTTAACAATTAGAGCTATGGAAATGAATATTCCTTGGGGTAAAGAGTCTACAGAAAAGCTCACAAGAAGACAACTGGAGCTGTGGGAATGATCATTTCTCAAAGCTTCCTGGGGCATTTTTGAGATCAGTGACAACACGTTAGCAGGATAGCAGATCTGAGACACTTATGCACAACCAAAAATGTCCACGGGCAGAGGGTCTGATGCTTCTTCTATGAGAAATGTGGAACTATCTTGGAAGCTGTGCATTCAGAGTAACCTCAGCACGGACTCTGGGGTGAACAGTAGCCACAAATAATAGGATGTCTTACATCGGTCAGCCTGAATTTTGCATGACAATGAAGTAAGATGTAGCTCAAAGTGAGCTCTTTCTATGGAACGGCCTTCAAAACCAGATTTCAATGTCCTCACTAGGCAGATGACTCCGAAAATCGCATCAATACTTAAAGAATGATGATTCACAACACATCAAACCTCAGATTTGTTGGAGAAGTACTGTTTGAACACTTGCTTCACACTAAGCCCCAGGCTGTGCGGCAGCTTACAAGACTGATGAAGATGATGCCTCACTCTGGGGGGTACTCCCAGTCTTGGTGGGGGTCTCAAGGCACATAAACATGGTAGGTTAGAAATATACCCGGGGGCATAGGCGGCACCTGTGGCTCAGTGAGTAGGGTGCCGGCCCCATATACTGAGGGTGGCTGGTTCAAACCCAGCCCCACCCAAACTGCAACAAAAAAACAGCCGGGTGTTGTGGCGGGCACCTGTAGTCCCAGCTCCTAGGGAGGCTGAGGCAAAAGAATCACCTAAGCCCAGGAGATGGAGGTTGCTGTGAGCTGTGACATCACAGTACTCTACAGAGGGCAATAAAGTGAGACTCTGTCTCTAACAAAAAGAAAAAAAAAAGAAATATACCCGGGGGCAGCAAAGCACAGACACAGGCCATCCTACCCAGCCTGGGTGTTCCAGAGATGGCTTTGTGGAGAAGGCGGTGTCTAAACTGAAATCTCATCAGGAATTAGGTTCAGAAGCGGCGAATGAACATTGTAGGCAGAAAAAGTGATTCAGTGTCACGGAGGACTGAAATGGCATGAAACAAGCGGATTTGTTCCAATAGGAGATGAAGGGAAGAGGCAGTCAGTAAGGCCTCATGTGCGTGTGCTAAGGGACCTGGGCTTTACTCAACTCCAACCCCAGGCAGGCCACGGAGGGCGGCCATACGCGTGAAGATGAATGAAACGGTCACGTTCACTCAATGGAATTCATGACAGAGGCAGTGAGGAAAAGAGACCAAGGCAGGGAGACCAATTAGGAGTGGGGAAATAGAACAGATTTCATAAACACTGACAAGGTAAAATGAGCAGATCTGGGGAAAGATGAAGAGGGAGGCGGGTGGCGTGACCGGTGGGTGATGTGATTAGCTGAGATGAGAAGAAAGAGAAAAGGCTTTGAGAGAGAGAAGATGTCATTACAGGAAACTCCAGATGTTTCTGGGGCTGGCAGGATCACTGAGGGGAGAACACTCCTCTGGTCATCAAAGAGTCACTCACTGTGACTAACCTTTAGGGGTGGCACTGTAACATCAGGTCTACAAAGGACCCCTATTATACAAGCATGCATTTCATTTCTATTTGGAAAAACAAAGTTGGCCAGAGAAGGCCGGCCAGGCTGGAGCATTCTGCAGAGGGCACGGGACGAAGTCTGTTACTGTACTTGCAGACACAGTTTTTTTCCCCTTCATGTCCAAGGTCAAATGACTCACTGTCGATATCTGTTTCACTTCGAACCACTTGAGGATCCCGGGAAAGGTGTACGCTGTGGTATATGTGGTCCGTTCAATCCACATGGTCTGGTGGCAGGAAGGAAAACAGGAAACGGTGGTGAGTTCCCAGGGAACACAACAAAACTCCTGGGTGTAGTCAAGTGAGATCATATTCCCGAGTGAGACTGCATTCCTGGTTTCTGCATTTCTGAAAGCTTAAGGATTCTGGATGTTTAAAGCCTAAAGAAATCATCTATTCGGGGCTTCTCACCTTACACCTGGAAGCCTCTAAGAGGTCCAGAGAGGTGAGACTTGCCCTATTAGCAGCTGGCCCAGGAGCAGAGCCCAGCGTCTGCACTCTAGAGTTTTCTGATTTGATGACAGCTCGCGTATGTAGGGAACTTGCAGGGGAAGCCTCTATTCCCAGGCACACTGTTTCTGCTGCATGTGCTGGCTAGCTGGAAGACTTCCCTCTCGGATGCCAATTTTACCTGGTTTTAGAGGGGGACGGGGTGGACTCACAGCAAATTCATTGTCTGGGTCCTTTTCTCCTTTCCGGAACGGCCGGGAATATCTGAACTGCTGCACCTCGTTGGCCCTGTAGTAGCTGGAGAAAGACACAGCAGGGAGGCTGTCATTTCTCTCTGGGAACAAGCACTCTTTGATCTGAGGTCAACAAAACCTGGGAGCCACCTGCCCCAGTCTGGGTTTTGCCCACTAAGCTACCTCACAACCAATGGCGTCTCCACACTGAAGGCTGGAGACGGTGCACAGTTTGATTTCATTTCACATCTGACGTTTATAGAACTTGTGGATTTATTTCACAGTTCACCATGTTAAAAGGGACACGTACTTACACCCACATTTGTGACCTCGATGGTACAGTTTTATAAACGTTCTATCAACCCCCTTCACATTGAGCTTCTCAGGAGAAGGGATCAGGCCCTCAATCAGGGGCCCTAATCTCCCAGTGATGCCTCTGAGTGAAAATAAGAGCTCAGGGATCTGAAACCTGGGAGTGAAATTCCCGATTTCCCTTTGCCTAAAAAAATCCCAACCCCCACATCCCTTGGAATTACCAAGCTTTTATCTTACATTCAAAACAGAATAGACAGAGCTTCCAAATGAATTTAAGTTTGGGTTTTTATATACTTTTTTTTTTTTGAGACAAGAGTCTCACTATATCACCCTAGGTAAAGTGCCATAGTGTCACAGCTCACAGTAACCTCAAACTCTTAGACTTAAGTGATTCTCTTGCCTCAGCCTCCCAATAGCTGGGACTACAGGCACCCGCCACAACACCCAGCTATTTTTTGTTGTTGTTGTAGCTGTTGTTCAGCAGCCCCGGTGTATCTGACCGGTACCCTAACTACCGAGCTACGGATGCCAAGCCTTTAAAGTCTGTAATAGAGACAAAATTTGTTTTAAAGAAAAAGGGTCTTGTTCTGTAACCCAGGCTAGAGTGCAGTGCCATAATCATAGCTCACTGCAGGCTCAAACTCCTAGCCTCAAATGATCCTCCTCCCTCAGCCTCCCAAGTAGTGTGGGACCACCCTGCCTGGCTAACTTTTCTTTAAAAAAGTTGTTTTGTCTTTAACTCCTGGCTCAAGCACTGAAGTGATCCTCCCATCTCAGCCTCCCAAAGTTCTGGGATTATAGCCACTGCCCCTGGCTATGTTTTTTTGAAATAAAGAATCACTCACTTTAAGATCTGCTCCGGGACTGGTTTATCCTTGTAGCTGGGCGGCAGGTTCATCACGGGCTTCACGGTGAAGCACTGCATATCTGAGAAGCTCATTAAGGAAAGAAAGGAGCTGGGCCGCAGAGGTGTCAGGCAGCAAGGCCCCGTTCTTCCTGCTTCCCCACTGGAAATGCCACCGGCAACCACCCCTCCTGTTGACCCAAATACCAGGACTGTGCTGAAAATGGGGTTCCCTACATATCACTGAAATCCCTTGGTCAGTGATGAACTACAAGACTTTTCTTTTGATCAAGACACCTTGAAAACATCCTTGCCAGAGGAAAACAGGCATCAATGAGGCATCAGGGAGAATGTGGTAAGAGATGGTCTAAATAATTTCTTTTGGACAAACATCACTCTGAATGCCAGAGCTCAGGCAATAGGAATTACGTTTAATCTTTGCATGCCATCTGTTTATGGAGGACCACAGCCAGGCACTGTACTAGGTGTTTGGAATACGTATCTCTAATACATACAATACGCAAAGTGGGTATTATTATTCTCCTTTTACAGATGAAGAATCTGTGGATGAGGGAGATTAAAACCCAACACCACACACCAGGCTTTCAAACCAGCTGGGTGGTAGGGCTCCTTCTCAGATTTAATGATCTAATCTTAGCAATAACTCTCCTACCACCATCACCAGTGCAGACACTGTTTCAAAGTCTCTAACAAAATCCAGAATTCAGAACAGAAAATTTAGGGCAAATCACGCTCCCTTTCTGGCTACAAAATATCTCTTTTCAAATTCAGGATTTGCTACCTTCCCACCCCTTTAATGACCTCATAACCACCTGCTAAGGATATTAGGGTCCCAGATATCTCACATAGGATGGGAACCTTGTCTGAATGCCTAAATGAGTGGTCTGTGGATCCAGGACACCTCTGTCTGCAAAGAAGGGACCACAACCCCTGGCTTCTCTGGGTTAGCTTGGGGCTGTACCCAGTTAAAGCTTCTCTGGGTCCTTCTTCCGCACAGCAAGGATGCATTGCTTTGGGGAGGATTTGATGTCTTCTCCCGGGGGCGTGGTGCTGGTCATCTTCTCCGCATTGGGGAACTGCGTCAGCAGCCTCAGGCTGAAGTCCTCTCGCCTCTCATACTCCTTGCCCCGGTAGATAAAGATTTTATTCTGCAGATCAGAGACAGGGAGGGAAGTCATCATACGGCAGGAATTCAAACAGAGGCACCTGGAGCGGTGGGTTGCCTCCGTCCACGTCACCCAAAGTCAGTGCACCATCATCAAGTTCCCCTTGGGTATCTATGACGGCAGCGTCCTATGTGACAAGGGCTGTGGTTTATTTGGGGAGTTAACTCACATCCGCTTAGAATGCCTTTTCCCATTTTCCCATCTCCTTCATCTTTCGACTCTGAGCACACCTTTCCCACTGCAGCTAAAGCAGAAATTCCCTGGGAAATATTTCCTGTCTTTTTTTTTTTTTAGTTAAGGCATCAATTACATATAATAAAATGGATTCTTTGAGTGTAAAATTCTCTTGAGTTTTTTTTTGGAGACAGAGCCTCAAGCTGTTGTCCTGGGTAGAGTGCCGTGGTATTACAGCTCACAGCAACTTCCAACTCCTGGGCTCAAGTGAGTCTCCTGCCTCAGCCTCCCAAGTAGCTGGGACCACAGGTACCCATCACAACACCTGGCTATTTTTGATTGCAGCCGTCATTGTTGTTTGGTGGGCCTGGGCTGGATTTGAACCTGCCAGCTTAGGTGTACACGGCTGGCGCCTTAGTTGCTTGAGCCACAGGCGCCCAGCCAAATTCTCTGAGTTTTGACAAATGTTACCATGACCACAATCAAGAAATAGCAGAGTTGCATCACCACCCCAAATTTTCCCATGCCCCTTTGTAGTCTGACCTCCCCCGCCAACCCCCCAGACAATCACCAGCCTGGTTTTTGTCCTGATAGAAAGTGCCACCTCGGGAAGAATGTCACATAAGTGAAAACACGGAGTGTCTATCTTTTATAAAAGTCTTAACGTCCTTCCACAGCACATCTGAGCGCCAAGCACATTGCTCACATGGAGTTTATTCCTCTTTCTCCCTGACAGGTCTCTACTGCATGAATATAATACAGTTTGTTCATCCCTTCACCAGCTGAAGGTACCTCTGAGTTGGATCCAATCCTTGGTGATTGTGATTAAAGTAAGGGAGTGTACGAATAAACTGCCCCCTATTAGGCACTGTTAGGAATGTGAACTGCTTCCTCTTATCACTTTTTGTTTTTAATTAAGGGAAAGCAGATGGATAACACTAGTATGTGTTTTAGCAAAGCTCAACTCTAAAAAAGGCTTGCTTTTTGCAGGCGATAACGAGTTTTTGTTTGTTAAACTATAAAATCAATATCATATTACAGACCAATTTAGAGATGGAAGAAAAATACCATCCTCACACCTATTTTTACAACAAAAATGCTTTTATTTTTAGAAAGCCCTTGCAGTCTTATTCTTACGATACTTGTTTTCAAACTAGCTCTGGCTGGAAATAAAATAAGCAACCCAACGCATCAGTCCACACTGTTCCCTGGCCTGACCCACAGCAGCTGACCAGCGGTCAGCGGAGGGAATGGTCCTGTTTTTCCCTTTTTCGTTCTCCCACCTGGGGAAAGTCATCTCACAAAAGACCTGCCAGGACACCAGGAGCGGTAGGGATGCGGGGTGAAGGGCCAGCTCTCGGGAAGTGGTTTCCCTCCCTGGCCTCCCACAGTGAGAAGACTGTGGGCAGCTGCTAACACATTGCTTTCCATCTGGAAAATAAATGACCCTCTTCCCTCCTTCAGACTCCCCAGCCTGATGGCTTTGGAGACCACCCTCAGGCTTCTTACCCGAAGGAAAGCAGGAAAGCTCTGTCCGTAGTAACCAACAGCAAAGTATTCAGGCTGAGGCCTCATCGCCTTAATGATGTTCTCATAAAACGAGGCTCTTTTTTTCTGGAAACAAAACAAAACATTCCACGGGGAGGTTATAAGGACAATGTGTGTGTGTGGTGGGGCGGGGGTGGGGGGATCATACTGCTTGCTTTGCTGTTTCCCATGTAATACAGAGAAATGAAAGGTCTTTGGAAAACATCCTATGGGCTAGAAGGTTATCTTTTTCTTGGATCAGAGGTTTTGGACCTGGGGTCCACGAATGGGCTTTGGAGGCTGCTGAATCTCTGAGGTTGTGAGCAGAGGGCGTGTTGCTTATTCTGCACAGGGAAGCAGTGCATGGCTTCCCGCAGTTTCCCCAAGGGGGGTCAGGACCTCTAAAAGGTTAAGAAGTACATTCTGAGATTCATGGAAGGTGGCTGCTCTTAAGGAGACACTTGGGACAAGGTGATGAAGAATTTTCCAGTTTGGGGTAGGGCGCCGACCCCATATGCTGGAGGTGGCAGGTTCAAATCCCGCCCTGGCCAAAAATTGCAAAAAAAAAAAGGATTTTCCAGTTTGTGTAGTGGTTTGGATTAAAGTCCTTGGGTCAACTGTGGGTGCCCATAAGGTGGCAGGGACATTCTGTTTTTCAGTGTCTGGTAACCCCTCTATTTTTGCCTCTTAACAAGGAGAGTGGTTTCCCAACTCAGGCTTATAGATTCAGCCATAAAGCAAGACAGCCAGACCTGGAGGATTTTAGGGGGGTCCCTAATCCTTCCCCCCGACAATGGTTAGCATGCCCACCTTACTACCCTTTCTAGGTGATAGTCTCTGTCAGAACAATGCTTTTTTTTTACAAGGTAACATGTTCCACCAATATGCATGTCAGTGTAATTTAGTGGATAAAATTAATACATGAGTATTTTTTGTGTGTGATGGCAGGAGCTGGTATTTACACTGGGAAATTTTTCAGAACAAGATCTTCACAAACAGCTCCTCAAAATAAATGATTATTCCATGATAACAGGGGACTGTAACTCCTCTGCTAAAACTTCTCAAATGCAATATTGTCTTTGCTATTTTTATTTTACTTTATTGACAGCTGGGAATACAGGAAGTCCATGAAAGGCACCAGGAAGAGAGAGAAAGCTGCATCAGTTTACAATCACCCAAATGTGGGAACAGCCTAACGCCCACCAACCCAGGAATGGATTAACAAGCTGTAGTATATATACACCGTGAAATACTATTCAGCCATTAAAAATGATGGAGACTTTATATCTTTTGTATTAACCTGGATGGGGGTGGAATGCATTCTTCTTAGTAAAGCATCACAAGAATGGAGAAGCAAGAATCCAATGTACTCAATTCTGATATGAGGACAGCTGATAACCTAGTAAATGGTGGGGGTGGGGGAATGGGGAGAGGGAAGGAAAGAGGGGGGTGGGGGGTCACAGTGTGTGACACAGCTCTTGGGGAGGGGACACAATGATAAGAGGGAATTTACCTAACCAATGCAGTGAGTGTAACCTGGTTCTTTGTACCCTCAATGAATCCCCAACAGTAAAAAATATAAAAAATAAAATAAAATAATAAAAAGAAAGAGAGCTGCAGACAGGGGTCCCCCCAGTGTGTGCACAGGAGAAAGCAGCCCCAAGTCACCATTACCCGAGGCCCAGTATTCCACTGCCCTTTTGAGGTGACCCTACCTACCCCACAGAACAGAGCCTTCTATAGAGGACAATCTGGAGAAATAATGACCCAGACTTTAGATTCTTTTCATTTTTACTTCAAATAAGGTTTACTTTTCCATTGTAGAGAGCACCACTGGTCCTTACTTTCGCCAACTGACAAAAAGATCTTCATGAACGCTCATTTTTACAACCCTGTTGGAGATAGGATGTATACTGACCCCGACTCACCAGAAGGTTGCCAAGTCCCTCGTAGTCAAACACTTTGCTCTCATACGTCTCAGCCAACTCTTTGCTCAGTTTGATAGCTTTCTCCCACATCTTCAGGAAAAGAAAAGTAGGGTCAAAAGTGGAGAACAAGGCTCAGCATCTGTGGCTCAAGTGGCTAAGGCACCAGCCACATACACCTAAGGTGGTGGGTTCGAATCCAGCCCGGATCCTCCAAACAACAATGACGGCTGCAACCAAAAAAAATAGCTGGGCGTTGTGGCGGGCGCCTGTGGTCCCAGCTACCTGGGAGGCGGAGGCAAGAGACTTGCTTGAGCCCAGGAGTTTGAGGTTGCTGTGAACTGTGATGCCACGGCACTCTACCCAGGGGGACAGCTTGAGGCTCTGTCTCAAAAAAAAAAAAAAAAAGTGGAGAACAAAGGAGGCATTGATGCTGGCTGCAAAGCCACCGGAGAGTCACCAGGAAGGAGCAGCCAGATGGGCTGAGTTTCTGTATAGCTTCCTGACCCTCAGCCCTCCGGTCGGCTAAACCTTTCCTGACATCACAAAGACAGTACCTGGCATCGTCAACAATTCCGTTTGCAGGAGCCTGAACAAGACTACACATTGCCTAAGAAAGGAATAATATTGGGGCTTAACAGGCAAAGCACTCATTACAACTGAAAGCGGAGAGGAACCATTTCCCAAATCAGGTTCTGAGAGTGTGACCATCTTGCTGGAGGAGGAAGGCAGCTCCTGTGGGACTCTGATTCTGGGGTGTGAGTGATTCTATGTAGGTGCATGGGTGTGTTGTTCGGAGGGAAAGAAAAGATACTAACAGGACTGTTACGTGGAATTCAGCAAACTGGGTTTTCATGGAGGACACTGATTTCTTTCCTTACTGGATGGGAGTTTTAGTTAATGCCTTAGAGCACTAAGGACCACATGGGCCACCAGCTAACGCACACGCTGGTGTCCTGGACTGGCATCCCAGGCTGAGCCCTCTAAACCACTCCGGTATTTCACAAAGCGCCTCCTAGTTGAGGCTGCTCAGAATGCGGCTTCTGCTCCCTTCCTGCCTCCTCCATGTTCCGTCCTCTGTGGCTGCTGCAGGAATGGATGTGCACCCCACAGACAAGTGTCAAACACTCCAATGAAATCTCCCGACGTCGTCACTTGTCCTATTTGCTGACTCTGAAATTTCAGGGCCTGTGTCACTAAAAACGCTCTGAAATGTGCCGCATGGAAACCATTCCAGGTCAGCTGGACCTGGTGCAGAAAGCCCGTCCACAGCGCCAGTGGAGCTCAGTGAACTCGTCCTCCCGGGTCCTTTCTCTTCTCCAAATGCTAAGTTACAAAAGAGACACGCAGACTGTCCAGCACAGCGACTCTCAAAGTGAGGTCTCCGGCCCTTGTGGGTCCTCAAGACCCTTCTGGGGGGGCCATGAGGTCAAAACTACTTTCCTAATAATACTATCCGTGGCCTTTTTCACACTCATTCTCTCATGAAGATACAGTGGAGTTTGCCAGTGTGTACATGATATGTGACATCACCATGAACCAGACACAGAAGCAAATAAGAGAATCCCCCTGTCTCTCATTAACCAGACAGGAAAGAGCTTTGTGAAAATAAAGCCTCTTATATGGCTAACTCTTTGATAAGCATAGTAGGGTTTTTTTTTGTAATTCTTCATGCATATATATGATTCACATTAATTAATAAGGATAAGCAGTTCCCGATTTACAAATGAGATAGGTTCTGTAGGTTTGTTTGTAAGTTAAATTTGCCTGTAAGTTGGAACAGGTATATTTACTTATTACCTGTAAGAGCCTCTGTTTCTTTCTTTCTTTTTTTTGTTACCCTTTTTTTTTTT